GGCAAGGGCAGAAGGCAGGGAGGGCACGGGGCTGCCTGGGGGCAGCGGGAACCTGGAGCCCCAGAAAAGGGCTCTCGCATGGGATCCCCTCTCCACACTCAGCGTCAGGGGCACAAGGGTCGAGGTCTGGGTCGGGGGGGGGACGACTCTGCACCAGCCCAGAGGCTGCAGGTTGTGGGACACAGGCGAGCGCTGGAGGAGCTGCAGCTCTAACAAGGGGCTTCCTACTGCTCGGGCTCCCGAGCCCAGGGCCGAGGTGGTCCTGCAATGGAGGGTCCGTGCCCTGAGCCACCTCTCCCTGCACAAATACATCCCAACCAGCCGAGGGGCTTATGGGGGGCTCTCATCGACGGCTGCATGCTGGAGGTGTTGGGGCTGCAGGCCCCAGGCCGCCCTGCCCACCCTTATCTCATGGGCATTAATATCCGTTGCCATTTGCATCCCGACGAGTGTTGCCACGTTCAGCTTCCGCAGCTCCTGCGTCAGGGAATTCCAGAGGGACAAAGTCAGTGGAGCCAGATCCTTCCCTCCCCATCCCACAGGCACCCAGCACCCATTTGATCAAGTGGCAACTTGTCCTCCAACCATGAAAGAGGGCAAGGAGAAACGCATCCACGTCCTCAGCGAGGAAGGGAACTTCCCCTCGGGGTGTGAAATGCCCTGTCCAGGGCCGCGGGCTCTGCTCTGCGGGCAGCCGGGCTCCCGTCGGGCTGGGCCACGCCGCGCTGTCTAGACCCACCTCCCGAATAAAGGAGTTGCAGGGCTCAGTAGCAGTTTCCTCACCGGTGGTAAATAACTACTAACGTCTTATCAGCAGCTGAGATCACCGATCAGCGGCCAAATGACTGCAAATTTGTCCCGCAGTTGCAATTTCCTCACAATGACCAAATCCTTCCAAGAAGCAGCTGACTGGTTACCGAGCTGTTATGCAGCCATTTCCCACTGGTGCCCAGTTTAGGGGGTCTCACCCTGTCCCCTCTGTCCCGTCCACCAGCATGCACAGGGCCGGGAGAGCTTCGGAGGGAGCATCCCTGGGATTTGCTCCCCATGGCTCCAGAGCAGCTTCAGGAATCGCCTCCCAGGCCTGCTCCAGCGCCTGAAAAAAAATGGAGCAGCAAAACCCGGGCTGAAGATGCCACCTGCTGGAAGCAGGTCCGATGCTGCGGGCCGGCAGGCACCCCACAGCCCCAAAACCCCCAAACCCCACAATCTCACCTGCAGGAACCCCCAAACGCCACAGCCCCAAAACCCCAAAACCTCACCCTGCAGGAACCCCCAAACCCCACAACCTCCCCCAGCAGGAACCC